AGATTCCTTCCTTCAGCTATTAAATCCCACTCATGCAGTTCCTCCTCTGCTTGTTTCAGCTTCTCATCAATGTTACCAAAGACTTCACTGTTCCACCTCTTCAGATGGACTTTCAGGTTACCCAATTTTTTCAAAAGTCAAAAACTAGCCCATCCACTAACCTGGTATCCTTCCCAACAGTTCTTCACTTCTGCTTTGAATTTGGGATGCAAACACCATGCATTAATAAATTGAAATGGTTTTGGGCCCCAATCCCTCTCATCCTCCATAAGGAGTATTAGATAGTGATCAGAGATACACCTAGGCAGTCCCCACTGTTTAAACTTGAACTCTTCCAGCCACCTCGGATCGATTAAAAATCTATCGATTCTACTCCATCTATTGCCATCCATCGCATTATACCAAGTGAACTGCCTGCCTAACATTTGCATATCTACCAACTCCAATTTTTCAATAAATTCATTAAAATCCTTCATCCCTCTTCCCCTACGAGAACAACCCCTTCTTTCGCTCATAAATCTGATTTCATTGAAGTCACCACCTATACACCAAGGGCTTGGGTAGGATGGATTCAGTGTTGCTGGGGACTCCCAAAGTTGCCTTCTTTTGAGCACATCATTGGGTGCATACACATTAATATGAGTACAATTAAAAGTATGATGGGCCATACCTGATAAAAGCATGAAGTTCCTGGAGCTGCATCACTCCTAAAGCTCAAAAGTCTGTGGATTCCACAAGCATCGCAAACCACCAGCACTTTCTTCAGCACCCACCTCCATGTACCCCAGCTCCTCCTACGGCCATAAGGACTTTACAAAATTATCATCTACTAAGCTTCTCTTAGTCTCCTATAACAGAAGGACATCTACCTTTCTCACCCGAACTAAACTCTTTATTTTTGTTCTCTTCTCGGGTCTTCGCAAACCCCTAATATTCCATGATAATAAAATCATAAAAAAAACTACACAACTCCTAAAATCTCCTGCCTTGAGTCCTGACCAGACTTACGGCATTACAGCTTCCCCTTCTACTCTCTCCATATCATTTTCTTCGAGTTCAACCAACTTGCTAATCACCTCATTCTCCTTGCCTTCAAAGTCCAATCCCAGAATTTTCCCAACTTCCATGGTAGCTTGGACTTCATTTAATAACTTATTTCTCCTCCTGGTGTTGAGACTTTGCTCTACTGACATTGATATAGCAGCTGCTACTGCTCTAAAGATAGCTCCTTGCTTGAAGTAGTTGCTACGCATCACTCCTTTTTGCTTGATCTGTTTTTTGTGCGATTTTGACCTATTTCGCAGATTAACACCATCCTTATAACATCTATTTACCACTGCTTCAGTGGGCTTTCCTTTCCTTACTGGGTTGTCTTTGACTGTTACTCTTAACTTAGCTTCTTGTTGAACAAGGGGCCGAAGTTGAGTTTGGGCTACACAATCACTTAAGTTTGAATAATCAGTGATGGGCCTATTCTCCTGCACCCCATCCTGAAACCCTTCCAGCACCACCTCTAAGTTTAGTTTAGGCCTTAAACTCTCTGGCCCACTAAGGCTTCTGATAAACCCAAGAGTACATACATGGCCTTTAACAATTTGAATTTCATTTCTTGGGGTTGCCGTATTCATCAACCTGCCCTCTAGACTATCTCCTCTAACTTTTTGATTTCACATGTCATCCTCAGTTTCTTTTATAGCTGATACAGATAAGCACTCATTACCTTCATCTTTTTTCCCTGCATCGCAGTCCACCATATCCTGTTCGTCACCTGCTATCTCATCTTTTCTGCTCAGCTCCTCCTTCCTTGTGTGTTCATCTTCATGTTCCTCCTTGTCTGTCTCACCATTTTTTGACAGTTGATCTACTTCGTCTTGAGCCATAGAACCAGTGACCTCATTTTCCATGTAAGAACTGTTGCAATGACACGGCTTTCCTGTTGCTGGGATCTCTTCACACACTCTAACTGGGAACAGGCTTCCATTACATTCAACATGGATCATCGTACTGATGAACTCCATTCTGGAAGTAATTACTCGTACCTTCCCCCACTGAAGAGAATTTTGAGTAGTAATATCATCATCAAATTGGACAACTTCACCCCACAGCTTGTCAATGTCTCTGAATGTATTTACACTCCACAAATTAAATGGTACACCTGCACATGTGAGCCACACACACCTTTCCTGTTCAACGTACTTGCCATTTTCCCAGTCTGTAATAGAGTTACACCATTCTAGCATCCACTCTTCTAGCTTGGTTCTGGCCTCCCTTTTATGTTGCTGAGACTTGAAAGTTAGCAGTGCTAACCTTCCACCTCCTTCTCTGACTCTTACTTCCTCCATACCTCTTTTGCCGACCTCCTTTTTAAACTCATCGAAGGAAAAAAATGATTTCAACTTTACAATTACACTGTCATAAAGCCACCCATTACCGGCTTCGAATGCCTTTACAACCACCTTCATCTTCTCATTACTGCCACCACTCTGGACTACTTCTGCAAAAGATCTTCGACCTATACCATCCATCCTTCTATACCCAAAACTCCTCTGTGGACGCTGCATCATCGGATCATCTCCTCTGTTTGTCATTGTATGCTGCTTAAACTCTCCTTTTTTGAACTCTGCTATCTTTACTTTCAGGGCCTTATTATCGCACCATAAGCCATCAGCCTTCAGCACCGCCATTTCAGCAGCCACCTTGCAATCATACCTCACAAAACCAAACCTCGACCCCGTCGCTTTTCGTCTTTTGGACGGGATGAAGGCATCCTTAACTACACCAAAATTATTAAACAGAGTAAACAAACAATTTGGAGTCATTGAGTTTGGGATCTCATCCACAAAGATAGTAAACACTCCATAATCCACTGATCTACTGTTTTGGTTTGCAACTCGCCTTCTTCTTAGCACCGGATTCCATCCTCCAAACTCCGTTTGCTTATATTCACACTTGATACAATTTTGATTTCTCCTAATCTCTCACATTTTTATTTTTTAATTTATTTTATTTTATCTCCTGGCCCTCGTTGAATCTATTTGGCTATATTCACTTTTTTTTTTTTTTTTGCTTATATTCACATTTTTTTTTTCTTCTTACTGGCCCTCGTTGAATCTGTTTGGCTAAATCATGAGTTTTTTTTATTTTTATTGACATATACAATAATTGAGAGTTTCTAATATTACAGCTATTCAACTAAAAACTTTAGTTGTCCCCTCATATTTTGAAGGGTTACACACATCATTTAAATAATTTAGATTAAGACAAAGAGTAGAAGAGAATTTTGTGTCCTCCGTCTAGGATGTGAGCCCTACTATTGATTTTGTACAGATTGTGGAGTTGCTCATGATCACTTTGTTTAGTTTTATATATAATTTTGAGTTTGACCTCCATTTGTGTTATTAATTTAATTTTTTTTGTATGTATAATGTACTTGGATGTTAAACAGTAAATTAGATTGATCACAAAGATAGGCTGGTGCCAAAAGGCATAACAGTGACCCAATTCCATAGTATAAAATTCACATCAACAAATATTTATTTAAAATTCAAAAAGTTAGTTAGGTTAAGATTTAAACTTTATCAGGACTTGGTAGTCATAAATTGTAAATTTGTATTTATATGATGTGTTAGAAACCTTTTGAAATGAAAACTAGATCCCGATTCTATTCATACAATGGAGAGAATCAAAATCATAAAGAAAGAGATCAATCGAAAAAAAGACATGTTTATATAGAAAGAAGATTTTGAAAATTGGTTGATTAGACATTTTAGCTAATACAATTTTGTGGCCTCTCAATACATCATTAGTGGAAATAAAAATATTTGCTTATCGACTGATTGACAATCTGTATCTATTCATAGTGGATTCAAAACCCCGAATTACATCCAATACATTTTGTTCCATTACTATTAAGTATTTTTTTCACGGTTAATAATTTTAAAAAAATTACATCATCAACTGATTCTCAATATATCGATCCATAGCAGATTCACAAGACAATTTAGAACTTTATACAATTGGTTCACGTGTGATATGGCTTGTTTGGTTAATATAATCCTCATTTTCGCAACGGATGGTTTTAAAAAAAAGGGTAAAAAGCACTAGACCCACTATCTTTTTGGTCTGTTACAGATGACCCATAAGGTTTGAATATATGCAAACACCTCTCCTATAGTTTTGGACTAATATGTAATTGTTACATTTTCCTTCCAAACAAGTGACAAGTGGGCTGCACGCATCTCATTTGCAAGTATTGTTCCATTTGACAGTTTTTACTCCAAAAATAATTTGTCCAAAAAACCAAAATGCCCTCGCACCTCACAATATAAGACAATGTTATTAAATGGGTGTTAAGAGCATCTCCAACGGTAGTAGGCATTTTACCTATTTAAATATTACTATAAAGTATATATTTTATTTTGCCTATCGACTATTTTATGTTTTTACTCCAACCATGCTCTTTATTTTAGCTATTTATCCAAATACTATTAATTTTATAGAATGCCACGTCAACAACAAAGATGGAGGGAAATGATCCTAATGATTGAATACATTTTGCCTAGCGTTGAAGGCTAGCTACATGTAGCTAGTGAATATGAGCTGAGGCAAAATGCCTAATCATATGCCTAGTGCATTGGAATTGAAAAAAGTGAATCACACTAGGCATTCTAACTAACAAGTATTATATGCCTAGTGCATTGGAGATGCTCTAAGCACTAATTAGTACTCTCACTCATTTTCCATGAATCACCGTACGCTGACGTAACTTCCGGTACAGGCCAACTCAGATTGGCTCAAGATGCAATTTCAACCACTAGATTTCCACTCAAACGTACACGGTACAACATAATAGCATACGACACACAACACCCCATCCCCACCCTAAAATATTTACCAACCAAACGCTGCCCTCCCTAATTCTGAAAACCCTAATAAATAAATGTTGGGAAATTCTCTAACACTGTGTCAGCGCGATCTTCAATCTTTCCAAGGTAGTGTCTTGTATCTATCACTGTTAAAAACCTCGTATTCTTTGTTCATGCCATCACTGATATCAGTGTCGTCTGTGTATATATAACGAAGGTCTCAAGGTGGAGGGTCACTTGAATGTTTTTTTCAACAATTTTCACTTATATGTGGATAATCGTGATAGCCATTTCAAGATTAGGGTTTTGTATTAAGGTTTCAGTGTTATTTTGTTTCTTTCTTTTTTAATTATCCCTTGAATTTTGTCTTGTTTGTGATTTTGTTAATTGGGTATAACCATTTTGTTCTCTTTATTTGTTTGTGGTTAGGTTTTGTTGTGATTTTCTTCTGATTCTTGTCATTGTTAATATTGGTTTTTTCAGGAACAATGAGTCGCTCAAGTAGAACACTCTATGTTGGCAATCTTCCCGGTGACATTCGTGAGCGGGAAGTAGAAGATCTCTTTTACAAAGTATATCTCTCTTTTTGTTTATATTCTATTGCAACTTGAAGTGAATATGAAATGTTTTTGTTTTTTCTTTTTGGGATTTTGATATAATAACATGCATTATATAAATGCAGTAATATGCGTGTCTCCAACAGTGTTACAGCTTAGTTTAATTTATGATTTAATTTTTTATATATTTAAAATGTTATTAAATAATAAAAAAAAGTGGGTTAAAAATTAAAAAATAGATTAAAGTAATTTATGATTTGGTTTATGGGTAATAAATATGTTTAGATTAATTTATGGTTTAATTATATATACATATATTTGTATATTTGTATATGTAATTTAAAATGTTATTAAATAAGAAATTAAGTTAAAAATTAATTGAGGTAATTTTATAATAATAGATTAGGGTGCTTAAGTTAATATATGATTTAATTTGTTAAATATGTGATTAATATAGAAAATTATAAGAATATATGATTTAATTTGTTAAATATGTGATTAAGATAGAAAATTATAAGAGAGAGAGAGAGAGAGAGAGAGAGAGAGCTTTTATGTAAGGGTAAATTGGTCTTTTTAATGTCTACTATTAACGGTGTTATGGTTACAGATCGATCCAAAACTATAAGAAAAGTATTTGCATATATTTAAACCTTCGGGGGGTCATCCACAATAACCTAAGGCCACGTTTGGTTGGCTCCATAGAATGAAGAGGATTAAGAGTATGGTAGGATTAAGTGAGGATATTATTAGTATGATGGTATTAGGTTAGAGATTTAGGATAAAGAGTGTTTATTGTATATCGCCGGATTAATAATACTATGGATAGTGTTAGTATATAAAATTAATACTTTTTAATTTTCAGTATTTTATAATTATGTTTTTGTTATTAAAAATATAATTTTTGCTTAAAAATTATTTAAAAATTTACTAATCTCCTCACTCAATTTCTAATTCCAATCCTCACATGACTTTGTTAGTCTTATCACATGAAGAGACTAATAGTTGGAGGGGATAGTTAATCCCCTCACTCTTGTCCCAAACCATATATTCTTTAAGTGGATCTTGCGGATTTTAGTCCAATATTTCTTCCAAAGAGCCAAACAAATATGGTCTAAAATCACATGGGATAAAGTGTTTTTTACCCTTTAAAAAATTTACAATTAGGTCACTCAATACTCTGAATATTGCTACACTACAACCAACATTAATTCATCTCTCCATATCATTTAAAACTTTGTATGGAATTGATCCACTGTATTAATGTTTAAAAAGAAAGAGAGAGAAAGAAAGAAAAGAAAATCTTTAAAATGCTTTTTAAGAATGCTAAAATGTGTTATGCAGTAGCTGATCTTACCATGGCAGCAAGAGGTGAAGCATACATGACTATATTTAGGCCAGCACACATGAAACCAATCACATCAATCCTCAGATCTCCTTGCATCCTCAAATAAGTCACTAGAATTGCTGCAACTGGGAATCCCACATTCAGAATCCCAACTAGTGTTGCAGTCTTAGCCTGAAATGACAATTAATTAGACTTTAGACCTTTATAAATCACAATGTTACTAAGCATAGGTTTTCAACAGGGGCGGAGGTAGCATATAGGTCGAGGGGGTCCGTGCCTCCCTCAGTTTTGCAAATATATATATATATTTTTTTGTTATTGTCATGTATAAAATGTATTCTTTTTTTTTTTTTTCTTAACATGTTCTTTGGTTAATGATTTATTATATTGTTCACAACAAGTAGTTATTTGATACTTTGGGAACACTATGTGGTATTATTTATATAGTAGTTTAAATCAATAGTGTAGCGAAAAATATTATAGATTGGATATAATGAACTCATTATGTTGAAGTAGTTGACATACTACTTAGTATGATTTGTGATTTTTTATACTTCGAGCATCACGTAGGTAACACCATATGGTACTCTAAGACTATTTAATAATTTTCATTCAAAACACATCATTTATAAGCAATGTCATCTCTTTAATATTTTTCTGTCAAATAAAAATTAAATAGATTCTATAATAATTTGTACTATAAATGATGTGTTTTTATTTTTTTAAATTAGGAATTTTGATCCATAATTTTTTGTACTAAAATTGCAAACTTACATCATCATCTCACATTGAGCTATTCCACACTATTATAGAATTTTGATTTGTTCTTATTAATAATGAATATGTAATTTTTTATATTTAAATTTATCTTATAAAATGATTATTATCTTAATGTTGCTCATGAATTTTTTTTTAAATAAAAAATTATAATTAATAAGTGTCCCTTTTAATCTAATTTTCTGACTCTGCCACTGATTTTCAATAGACACATGGGGGCATATTATCTGATATCGACTGATATATGGCAGTATTGTTGATACTAATACATATTGTGATACTGTTATTTAAAAATCATCGGATTATAATGACATTACAAGTAGCTAGCTTACCCTCATCCTTGGAGGCGCATATAGTAAGAACAATGATATATAGATGACTTCAACTACGACTCCAAAACCATTAACAGTGGCAACAAGGTAACTCCCAGGCTTTGTGATTCCATAGTAAGTCCATAAAGATGAGCTTAGCAGTGTGCAAATGTATGGAAAGCTCTCAAACTCCTCAGTTGATTGATGCTTCACAATCCGCAAAAATGTTCCTCTACAAATCACATTTCAAATATATTTCACTCATCATGACTATTTCAAAACTTAACTTCAATAAAATGAACAGTTCAGGATCATTAAAACAATCATGATTCACTACAAGAGAATACACTTCCAGTCACAAATTTGGTCGTTAAAAGTACATAGTTTTTTTTTAAGATGGGAGATAAAAGTACAAATTTTGCGAGTTGAACTCTTTCTCTCTCTGAGTCTTTACTTACAATGGAGAAACAAAGAGAAGAACTGAGATGATGTTGCCTGAAACAATGAGAAGCAAAGAACAGTTTAGTTTCTCTTTGTGAATTGACAAATCCAAAGACAAAGCTATATATAAAAACATAGCTGAAATGGGTTATTACCTATCACTCCAAGATAGAAACTTAGGCTTTCCATTGTTGAGAAAAATTAGATTGCAGAAGGAAAAAAGGTGTGCGTACCGGGTTCCGCACTAGATGAAAATGGATCGGGGCTCCACACTCGGTTGGACTATCCAGGGACTGAGGTTCCTACCACAAGAAATACCGTAAGAGCTGCCCGGCCGGGGTTGGCCGGATAACCCCTCCGGTGTGGGAATCAGTGATTGGAGAAGAGATGTAGAGAGTTGAGTTTGTAAGTAAATGGGGTTTTACTTGGAATAGTTCAGTTACCTTCAATGTGAAGTTCATGTAGTATATATAGCGTTCCCTGCTTGCTCCTCAAGATGGTTTCATGGAGCTCTGGTGCTGCCAGGCTTCCATTTAGCATTGCTGAAGGTGGGGGACCACCTGATAGTTGTTATAGAATGCATATATTCATTGTAGTCATGCTGATAACAAACTTCATTCTTCTGGTTTAACAGCTTCCGTGATTCTAGGTGTAGGGGACCAGCTGAGGTGGCAACTTGCATATGCACATACTCACAACTTCCACGTTTCTCTGCGAGGTTCCCTCAGCTCGGTGCCTTCGCGCCCTAGTTCGGCCCTATACAAGGCTTCCGTTGGGACATGCTCAGCTTAAAACCATACACCCAACCAGCAAATCAGCCAAGTTACCATAAGTGAGCAGCCATAAATCAATGGCAAAACTAGCAGCACGCAAAAGCATCCCAGAGCAGATAAATCAGCCTTCCCAAACAGTATACAGATCAGCAGCATAGTTCATACAGACCAGCAGCAGTATACAGATCAGCAAATGGGAGTGCAGAGCCCAAGACTTTGCCTACCAACTGAAGCCTTCCAAGGCCATCTCAAATCAGATTCAGAACATCAACACAATGCAGCCCAACTGAATTCATAACAAAACAACTGAAAATTCCCCTGCCCTGAAACCTTCCAAATCCAGCTCAAAACAGATTCAAAAACATCAACACTAATGCAGCCCAACTGAAATCACAATAAACCAGCTTAATCAAAACTCCTGTGCCTACCAACTGAACCCAGAATTCAGAACATCACCACAAACCAGCCCAGAGATCAGAAGCAGCACAGAACATAGCATACCAGGGCTCAGAAACAGAACCGCATAAGACAGTACAGACCAGAACTTGTGCAGATCATCATTTCAGCAACAAAGCAGAATCAACCCACAGAGCTTCAGCAAGACAGCAATTAGATACACACAGAGACAGACTTGATCCAAGTTATATATAACATCGTGCACCGAATAATTAAACCCCTTTAAGGATGAGGAAACCCACAGAGCTACTCTAGCCTTTATTAGATCTTCCAAAGCATTCCAATCCGATTGTACCTTATTAAATAAACAATCATTTCTACTTCTCCACGCTGACCACATAACTGCTAATGGCAGTGTTTTCCAAACTGCTAGCATCTTCTTCTTCATTTTTATACCTGACCACGACAGAAGTAATCCCTCTACTGTTCCAGGACTAACCCATTTGTAATTCCACCAGTTCACTAAATTGGCCCACAATTTCCAAATGAAAGGGCAGTAATGAAAAACATGATTAACAGTCTCCAACTTAGATCTGCAGAACACACAGAGAGCAGAGACATTTGGGCTCAACACTCCAATTCTTTGCAACAATTCAGAGCATTTAATCCTTCTTCTCCACGCTAGCCAACTCAAGAATTGAGCTTTGGGAGGGTCTAAATTGTTCCAAATGCACCTAGTGACTGTAAACTCTACCCCTTGACTTACTTCCAACCACTTCCAAGTTGATGCCACAGTGAACTCTTCAAACGGATGAGCTAACCAAGAACAAGAATCTACCACCCCTACCTTGAGCCTAGGCGCATTCTACAAGAGATCATTAAGTTTTTGCACTTCATCCTCTTCCCATGCTAGGAGGGGTCGTCTGAAAACTAGATTCCAATCTGAATCTGACACTCTTCTGTGGAAAAAATCAACCAACTTTCCATCTTTGTCAACTGATAATGTGAATAATCTGGGAAAAGACACACTTAGATTTTGGTTGTGACACCACTTGTCAGACCAAAATTGCAGTCTTCTGCCATTACCAACAACTAGCCTGA